AGCTACTATTAATAATCTCGTACACATAAATCCAGGATTATGTAGTCCAGTCCTTTGTATTTAACTGAAGGCTTTCCATATCAAAAGAGCTATGAAGACCCCCCTTCTTTTAAATAAATTCATTAAGTCATTTAAAATACATAAGCAACTGTACTTTAATGATATTACAGTGCTATGCAAAAGTCTGAACACCCCTGGTCACATTTTAATGCACAGTTTCTATTTATTTTCTGAGCTTAACATATTGGAAAAAAGATAAAACACATTGTCCTTATTTTCACTTACAAAATCAACAAAACACCATTTAACCTGGTGCTCAATCTTTTCATATTAGTGTACAGTGGTGTGAAAAAGTGTTTGCCCCCTTCCTGATTTCTTATTCTTTTGCATGTTTGTCACAATTAAATGTTTCAGATCACCAAACAAATTTAAATATTAGACAAAGAAAATGCAGTTTATAAATGAAGGTCTTTATTATTAAGGGAAAAAGAAATCCAAACCTACAGGGCCCTGTGTGAAAAAGTGATTGCCCCCTAAACCTGATAACTGGTTGGGCCACCCTTAGCAGCAACAACTGCAATCAAGCATTTGCAATAACTGGCAATGCGTCTTTTACAGCGCTGTGGAGGAATTTTGGCCCACTCATCTTTGCAGCATTGTTGTAATTCAGCCACATTGGAGGGTTTCCGAGCATGAACCGCCGATATTCTCCTTCAGGAATTTTTGGTAGACAGCAGAATTCATGGTTTACCACAGCAAGTCTTCCAGGTCCTGAAACAGCAAAACAGCCCCAGACCATCACACTACCACCACCATATTTTACTGTTGGTATGATGTTCCTTTTCTGAAATGCTGTGTTACTTCTATGCCAGATGTAATGGGACATGCACCTTCCAAAAAGTTCAACTTTTGTCTCGTCAGTCCGCAAAGCATTCTCCCAAAATTCTTGGGGATCATCAAGATGTTTTCTGGCAAAACTGAGACGAGCCTTTATGTTCTTTTTGCTCAGCAGTGGTTTTCGTCTTGGAACTCTGCCATGCAGACCATTTTTGCCCAGTCTCTTTCTTATGGTGGAGTCATGAACACTGACCTTAACTGAGGCAAGTGAGGCCTGCAGTTCTTTGGATGTTATTGTGGGGTCTTTTGTGACCTCTTGGATGAGTCGTCGCTGCGCTCTTGGGGTAATTTTGGTCGGCCGGCCACTCCTGGAAAGGTTCACCACTGTTCCATGTTTTCACCATTTGTGGATAATGGCTCTCACTGTGGTTCGCTGGATAACCTTTTTCCAGACTGATAGATCTCAATTACTTTGTTTCTCATTTGTTCCTGAATTTCTTTGGATCGCAGCATGATGTCTAGCTTTTGAGGATCTTTTGGTCTACTTCACGTTGTCAGGCAGGTCCTATTTAAGTGATTTCTTGATTGAGAACAGGTGTGGTAGTAATCAGGCCTGGGTGTGGCTAGGGAAATTGAACTCAGCTTTCCAAAGATGTGATAAACCACAGCTAATTAATGTTTTAATGGGGGGGGGGCATTTTGTGTTTACTTCTGTTATCTTTGTCTAATATTTAAATTTGTTTGGTGATCTGAAACATTTAAGTGTGACAAACATGCAAAAGAATAAAAAATCTGGAAGGGGGCAAACACTTTTTCACACCACTGTATATATAGTTTTTTTTTTTCACTCAGGAGTCACTCTGGCTCCTGCACACATCACTGTTGATAATATAAATTTCTCCCTCCGTATCCAAGAGCTTAATATTTTAGTGCTTTCATTGTTCAAATATACTTTATTTGAGTCATCAGATAATTAAACCTCATCTGAGGTACATGAGCATATTAGGGGAGGGAAAATACTAAACTATCCATGGTTCTCCCAGAACAGGACTAAGAATTTCTGAGATATCATTTAGACTATATTCATGGCCACTGATATGAATGTCGTTTCATAATTCTTAATCCAATCTGATCTAATCCGCCTTATTTAGATAGTCCTATATTCCAGCACATTATAGGCCTATAATCAGAGTCTGTATTTCTAAATCAGGTAATTTGTACAACTGTAATCTCTCTCTGATCCCTCGGCTCACTTCTGTCCATGGGAGGGAAGGCCAGTGTCCTGGCTAATTGCAGGCTGTGGGTTATTTCTCAGAGAACAACCTTACTGCCACAATTGTCACCTGTTTATTTCCGCATAAACGGAATAGTTTATTGTAAAATGTCTCTCTTAATGTTCGACTTTTTACGAGACTGAAATCAGCTTCTCATTCGCCAGCTTTTTGTTTGAATTACAAAAATGGATGGTGTTCCACCAAAGCGTCAACTTTAAATTGCAGATTTAACGTATCAGGAAACTAACCAAGTGCTTATAAATGCAAATAAGCCCATTTGTCTTCAAATTATCGATGTTTGGCTTATGTCTTTCTCTTTGCCTTTTTATTAGCTACTAGCCAGGCCAGATTCTTGTCTGCGTTGCTATGGTGACCAACAGTCTGCGCTCCAATCTTCAGGGTTAAAGGTTAGCAGTTATACATTAACACCAGTGTTTGTTAAAACTGAACTATCGGCAAAGCTTTATTTTACTGTAAAGGAGGGTTATTTTATGTTTATCTACAAATCTTATTCTGCTGTAGAGCCACACCAGGGCAGTAAAAGACCCGTCGACCCCTGCTCTAGGCCTTCTTTCTGCGGAGATATCACAGTGCCTGAGAACAGGACTGCTAGCCTAACCAGTCAGATATGGTAGCAGATATGGTGAACAGCAGCAGCAGCTCTATGCCAGACTTAAGTACAAGATAAAATATATGTTAATATGTCTGTTACAATCTTCAAATTAAACATGGAAATATGAAATGTCTTTTACAAGCTTCAAATGTCTGTGTATAGTCAGAAAATGTTCATGTGAATCGCCGTTAGCTTAGCGCTAACATACAAATAGAATCACTTAGTGGAAAGCTAGCAGAAATTAGCATTATCATACGGGTATTTTTTTCCTCGTTTTTCACCAAGACGTTTATGGTCCGAAGTGAAGGCCTAGCAGAAATAGCCTCGGTTCGCCACTGATTATAGCGTTGTCTACTGTCTCTTGAGCAAGGTCTTATTTGTATACAGTTGATACATGTAATTTCGGTACACATTTCCTGTAATGGAAGGGGTCATGTTTAGGAGAACTATACCACCTCATGAGTACAATCACACCGCAGTCCCAAAGCATCCTCTTCTCTTCTCTGCATATTGACTGGATTTTGGTGGGTGAGAGGAACTTAAAGGGCGTAATACGAGCAGCCTATATGGGCAACAGCACAGCAGTGATCGTGGTCAGAAGGTATTGACTAACCACATCTAACACAACTGATGAGTCATCACCACTCAAAGCGAAACTGAGACCACTACAATCTGAGCCCGCTATCTTTTACGATCTCACAGTCACCTCTTATTGTTTCGGTAACGCAGAAGTGCCCGACCTATTGTTGTTTTGTAATATGCTTTCGCCTCTATTCATACTTTATATTAGACATTCATAATAAACTAATAGTGGATGTTGGAGAAAAAATGACGCTTCCAAAAAGACACTCCTTCCTTTATTTGACTGAGAATTTTATGCATTGCTTTGATCTATGTGTAGTCTGCCACCAAGTGGCTCATATATGTCATTGCAATGCAGAGTCTAATACTCTTTGGGCGCCACTGGTTTTCTAAATGAAAAATCACATCCTCTACAGAGAACACACATTCGCATATTTTAATGCACAAATGCTGTTTATTTGATGAATTTAACATATTGGAGTGTGAGACCTAAAATGTGGCCTTTACAAAAGTTATGGCACATTTTAGATTCCACGTTTTATTATTATTTTTTTTAATATGTTAATCTCAGCAAAGAAATAGAAATTGTGAATTAGAATGTGCAGGAAAATTCTATATGTAAGTAGGCAGAGGATGTGTTAACATATTTTCATTTAAAAAAATCAACAAAACATCATTTGACCTAGGGTGTTCACATTTTTGCATGCAGCTTTACCTCATGAAATGGTTTCATCATCTAGTCAAACTGTAGTGCCTGCAGTATAACTACTGAAAATACATTACATGTCCAAAAGCTTATAGACACCTGCTAATCCAATGTTTCTTTCAAAATCAAAGGTATTAATCTGTAGTTTTAATCTTCTACTGGAACTCAGTTTGATTGCTTTCAGCCACAGGAGCATTAGTGAGGTCAGATACTGGTGTTGGATGATCAGTTATGGATCACCATGCCAGCTCATCCCAGAGTTATTGGATGAAGCTCAATCACTTCAGAGAACGCAGCTCCACTGCTCCACAGCCTAATGCTAGGGGGCTTCATACCCTTCTAGCTGTTGCTTGATGTATGTCAGCCATGAGTGCATCTTAAAGTAACTGAATTCACCAATTAGAAGGGGTGTCTGGATACTTTTGGACATGTAAATAATTTAAGAAATAAATAATATAATTTAATATTTAATAATTTCGTTCTTCTATAAACCAGCAACTAGCTTCTTTCCCTTGCCTCTCAGACAGCTGTACAAAAAAAGAAAAAAAAGAAAAGAAAAAAAAAGAAAAATAACAGCACGGGAAATGTACATGTATGCCACCAAAGTTTCAGTATATACAATGAGAAATAAACGTGACCAACGTAAAGGAAACAAGTGACTCATTGCTGAAAGATTCAAAGGTGGCATGAGGACACATTTCAACAGGAAGGGTGGAAAATAGAATAAGAAGAGAGGGTTGCTTATAATATACTTTAAAAGTGCTGCCAGTTTTCCACTCCCCCTACTTGTTTAAAAACCCAAAACAGGCAGTTGAAGGTGAAAACGGATTTTAAATTAATCTTTTGCAAAGAAAAACGTGAAAAAAACAGAGCCTCTTGTTCAGCGTTGTGTCTCCGTCAGTTAGGTAAATCATACGGTGCAGTTGGTGCAGTCAGTCCACCTCCTCTGTAGGCTTCTCGACCTGCGCGCCCTCCCCTGTCTCATCGAGAACAGGAACCAGGTATCTGTTGCTGTCATTTCTGAGAGGCAGCAATACAGAGATGCTTGACTACAGGATCATTCGCATCACCGCGATCCTCACCGTCTTTCATTCAACAATTTCTGAGCACCACGTTCAGGCGAAGAATGACCCACACGGCAAATCAGACGTCAAAGGTTTGTGATTTCATTCTATTCGGTATACAGATTAGTGCTCGATTTGTGGCAGATAGCGCTAATGGCGGGTTGTTGTGAAGGGAAAGCAGAAATGAACTGAATGAACTGATCATGTGGTTTGTACTTGGTGAGGATTCTCTAAATGTTCTAAGTCTCTAGAAAGGATCACAACTAGAAAACTGTACTTTTACATGCTTATCTACAGCACATTGACATTAAATACAGGCACTGTTTTGCATTTGTTGAACATATTTAGCAAAAATAGCCTCATTTTTACTCCGAGTAAACAGTTTCGGAGTAAGAGACGTTAGCTATAGCGAAAGGAAAATGTACAGTTGAGAGATAAACAGATGAGGAGGAGGGTGGCGACAGACCACATCCTGACAATATAAAACACCCCCTCCTTCTCACCATAACATTGTACGCAAACAACAGCATGTTTCTATTGTGTTTTCAGACAGGAACCTGGCTATACAGCGAGTAACTACAAACGACAGCATTGCTTCAGTCCACTGCCCAGCACTGAAAGATGATGAGGAGAACGTTCGCATCAGTCTGCACAGAAACACATCTGAACTGCACTCGACTGATTTCAGAAGGACTCAAGCATTGAACAACTCAGATCTCCAGCGCAGGTTTCATGTATCCATTGAGAATAATACAGTCCATTATCTGATAAGCCTGTCTCAAGCCAATGACACAAGCCTGTACTGTTGTGAAGTCCAGCATGGCACCACTGACAGCAGAAAAGTCTACACTTTGCTACTTGTTAAAGGTACAAACAGAGTCAACAGAAACATAATCACACACAAACTGCTTATGCTCCTGGGTCGCTGGGTCGTTCTGGAGCCTAACCAATATATATATATATATATATATATATTTCCTAAGTGAAAATAAGTTAACACATCCTCTACAAGGAAACCTCAAAATGGCATTTTCTGCATGTGCACAATTTCAGAGTTTAGTATATTGGAAAAAAAATAAAATAAAATGTAATATATGCCATAACTATTGCACTGGCCACATTATGTGCTTAGTTTTTCTCCCATTATACGTTAAATTATGCAAATAAAGAATTTAGTTTGTTATCTGTACAGGACATGCACTTATTTTCACATAGAAAATTGACAAACATTTTGACCAGAGGTGCCCAAACTTTTGCACATAACTGTATATATTTTTACATTTTTTTCATATAGAGTCACTGTCTTATCAAAACTTGTCAAAAAGTCTGTTCTTCTTGATTTTTTAAATATTGTTTCATAACTCCAACTGCCCTTTACATGTGCGAATGGACTAATAGAAATGGACCAAAAAGATTTTATTTGAATAAAAAAGTTAAGGGAGTTTTTTTTTCTTTTCTCTTGTCAAGTTACCATGAAGATGATACTTCAGAGAAATTAGGTTTTGTTACGGAATATCAGTCATCACAGTACTGTTATGTAGTTTCTATTTTATATATCCAATGGCTTGAATTTATATATATACAGTACTGTGCAAAATTCTTGGGCATCTGAGAAAATGTATCTGGGCAATAAGCATTTATTTATTTAAAAAAAAAAACATTGAATTTAAAACAAACAAAACAAATAAACAATGCAGTGTGATTTTCTGTGTGTGTTAGTGTAACCGTTTCCAAAACTGGTATGTACAATTTCTATCTAATAGCTAGTTTGGATAATTAATCCTTCATTAAATTAAATCAGATGAGCTGCTGATAGAATTTAACAAACCACTGGAGTGAACCGAGAAGTCAGCAACCAAACCTGTGTGCTTCTAACATGTTCTTCTAACTAACATATCAATAACTGTTTAAAAAAACAAATTATTGCTTGTATAGTTTTTTTACAGGCAAAAACACACTTTCTGCTGAGAAAAACAGTTTTAAACAATTTTCTTGGGTGGCTTTTACACAGTACTGTATATAAAAACCTGTGCTCTGTTCTTTGACCTCTAGATGCAGTTCCTTTCTGTCCATATGAGGGAGGACTAGTGTACTGGCTGATGCTAACTGCAGGCTGTGGGTTATTTGCTTTGTATGACCTTATTGTCACTATTCTCACCTGTTCCTTTTGTGTGAGTCCCCCGCACACACACACACAGTGCTTTGTCAACACAAGTGTTATTGTATAATGTATATTTATGTGTATAAAACCTGTTTATAGGTTTTACAACACACAATACAAAGTGTATTTCACTATATATGACAAGCTTCCCACATATGAAGGGTGGACAACTGTTAACATGTTGTGTCAGAGTAATTGTTTTCTACAGAAGTTCAAAACTGATGTTTCTGTTTCTAAACCAGTGGAAATTCAAGAACGAAGAGGACAAAAATCAGAGTGATTATTACAACGCAAAACCAGGAGAATTCAGAACAGCCAGATGAATTCACAGTCCAGCTTCAGCGGCCAATTACTGCCCACCTGTGCATCTATAACTGAACATGTGTCCAACACAATGTGCCCATAAAAGAGCAGTGATCTACAATCATGTGTTACAAAGACAACCAACCACTGATTCACAACTTGACCATATACACTCAACTGTATGCCTGATTCAGTTCATTCAATAGGTTTAGTAACTGTCATTATATTCTGCATTTTTATTATGTCTTGTAAATATTTGTTGTCTTTGAATACGGTGACATCTTACATCTACTAATGTAACAATACTCTAATATATAAGACATCTATGCAGACTGTGGACCTGTTGTTTAAGACAATGTTGTAAAAAATGTGCTCTATGGTATTTTTTGACTCATTATTTTGATCTTTTTTTTTAGCATAATGAAAACCTGTGCCAATCAATATTAACTTTGTGCATCTTCATTATTGGAATCCAAATAAAACTAATCAAATTCATGTGTACCGCTCGCTGTTGTCTCATCTTTTCACAGTTCTGACATTAACACAACTTTCTGAAGAATAGAGTGAGCGCCTTTGTGGCACTCAGCACAGCTATGGCATGTTCTACAATAAGCACTGAAAAACAATGAGTATGCATGACGTGCACTTTTAAATAATACATTTCATGACTTAGCACAAGTGTTTCACAGAAATACCAATATTTGTTTCCATTCTTGGTTATCAGAGTTTCAGTCTGAGTTAAGCTGAGAGTGGCTATCTGAGTTGAGCTCTGATCAGGTTTATTCATTTTGCTGATATGTTGCTTTTTTGCATTTGCACGTTCAACTTTTTCCCCTCCCTGAGCAGCAAACGCGCATTGCGTATATCATGCAAATGCAAAAAAATTGAGCTCTATTCGGGCAGTTTACCGTCAGCTTGAGGTTTCCTGCCACAGTTAATGATGTCACAAAGCTTTCCACAATAGTTTGAAGATTTTCAAGCATAAAAGACATTGGGCAATACCACCGGAGTTACACAATGATTGCCATCCTGGTGACACTGATCTTGGGCATCCCTCTGGGGAATGGTGAGTATCTGGAATGTAGATGTTTATGGTATTATATTATAAATATTTTGACCTTTTCTTAACACTTTGATCTTTCTGTGTCCCTCTCCAGCCTTCAGAGTTTCACAGCCATACTATGTAGTGGGCAGTCAGGGACAAGCATCCTTGCATTGCACCTTCAACATCAAGAGACAGCCAGAAGAAATGAAAGTGTCCCTGTATAAGGGGATGTATGGGGAAGAAAGGATTTGCAGTGCCAATGTCAACATCTCAGAGCCTCACATAATGACAGATGGCAAGGTGCACTGCAGTGGTAATGTCAGCAAAGGCAGAGTGGACCTGACCATCTTTGGCTTAAAGGGGGAGGACACTGACCTCTATCGATGCCAAGTGGAGATCATTTTTCCACCACCGTACCTCAGCGAATTTGGGAATGGCACACTGGTGTATATTCCAGGTGAGAGATACAGTCATACAGTTCCAGCTCAGTCGAGCTCTCTATCCTATTTATCTGTTTCCTCTACCTGTTTCTCTGTTATCTGTTTAGGGGCCTGTTGTCTGTCTGCCTTAATCCATTGTGCTCACCTGCAGCAATACTCAATGTAAATGCAATGTCTGTACATCTTTGTGTGAACTGGTAATTGTAAAACCGGATATTTACTGGGTCTGATACTTTACATTTTAAAATAGCAGAAATTTAAGTAAGTGTAATCAAAAATGTCACACATAGATAGTTTAGAGTAGTTATAGTCTGCTCTTCTCTACAGCTAAGTCTGAATTACATATATGTTAACATTACTTTTTGTTCTTATAATTTAAATACGGTAATTGCCAACTTTATTAAATATGTGTCCTCTATAGTTGCACCTAATAAGCTGCTAACAAGCTTTTGCATCATAAATTCAGACATTTAGAAGTGAGTTCACTGATGGATACTTGTCTTGTACTATTCACAATTTGTATGTGCTTCTATAAACAGTATTTATACAAATGGATTCATAAATGTCCACTGAAATTCAGCTAAAAACTAAAAGTAATGCATGAAAGATGCCAGCAAAGGCTAAGATGACTTACACAGGCACAGTTTGTTTATTCATTCATTCAACACTGTATTTATAAAAACAACACTGTTTGGATTACACCTTACAACTTCAATTACAGCTGTAGAGTCAGTATAGGTAATAAAGTGACCACTGTGGATGCAGACACCGAAACACACCTTGTCATGACTCTAGAGGGAGCCAGAGGGCATGGTAGGATGGTACGACACTTGCTCCTCCCGACCTTGGATGTGTATTCTGAAGGTTGTGGTTGATGCAGTGGAAACGGGGCCTCCCCAGCATCCGAATGGAGACAAATCACTAGAAACGTGAAGCTTAGCTTTGACGTCAATAGCTCTGTGGATACTTTGATCATATTTTTGATGTTTGAATAAAAAAGTCTTTGTTTGAAAATGTAATTTTCCATTTGCTAAAAAAAGTGTCTAATGACAATGCCTCATAAATGTCATTCGGCAGAAAATGGCTAGACTCAATTCCTGTGTATTTTCTGCTATTAATAGACTGTCATGTCTTTCCATTCTAGAAACCCCAGACTGCCCCACTGAACACACTGAGGCTAGAATCCAGGACAACCCAGAGATCACACCTATCCAAAGCCCCTCATTACCCCTTATTCTGATTTGTGCCGTTCTCATAACCACCACCATCATCCTCATTCTGCAGGTAAGCTCTGCTCTACCCCAGACTGTGTCCTTTTTAGATTCTAGACCACTCCTAAATTCAAATGTATATTTGTATTTCATATACTGTGGCTGCTGTCACTCACATTGCCTGTATTTCTTGTATTTATTACTCCTGCTCATTGTCCTATCCACTACTGTCTCTGCACCTTTAGACGAATGGAACTAGTTTTTGTTATACTTTAAACTGACAACCTGAATTATAGCACAATGCAGTTATAATGCTTTTATATTAAATATTGTTTATACATTGTTTGTATGTTTCTTCCCAGGTGATGAACATGATCATGACACCGCCGAAGTCCAATTATGTGCCACAAATAGTTTCGCAAAAAGGCGATTACAGGCACTTCTCATGATACGTACAGTATTTATCAGTGGTCTTTAACTAATTCTGCATTATTACAGAATAACTACTATTTTTTTTATTAAAAAATTGCTTCATTTTTATCTAAAGGTAGATAAAAAAATAAAAATGTATTTGTATATATATATTTTTAAACTTATGTTCATGCTGAGGCCTTGTCATATAAAAGACAGTACTAAAACAAATATATAGAGTGGCAGTAAATAAAACACACACTCTTTTTTTCAGTTTAGTTACATCAGAAGAACTATTATAACATCAACCAATTATTTTGGTTTAAGAAAAGAACAGTTTGACCTTCAAACAAACCATGTGCTGAAATATTGTACATTACATACATGCTGTTTGGTTTTAATAATATTTTTATTATTTTTGCGTGTGCACCAGAACATTAGAAGCAATATTTTCACCAGTTCTTGTGTAGTTTCTTGTGAAATGTCTTCCTAATTTTCAGTGGGAAAAGAAACATTATGTGATATGTTGTTTCCTATGGAAGTGTACCAGATGTTGAATATTGGCAGGAATTGTCCTATCAGTCAAGTAAACTCTGTGAAAAAAAAAAAACGTGTCTGTTTCCTGTAAGTACTAACCGCCAGTGTGTGTTGATTTCATCATACATTCTCGAGCTGAGTAGACCAAGCTTGATTCGAAGAAGAATTGACTCAGAGTAGTAACTCCTCTGTCATTCTGTGTGGTTGATTCAGTAGAATACTAAAACGGTAGGGATGATGTTCATTGATGATGCTTGTCAGAATCAAGGTTGGAATAAGCTTGTCTCACCACCCCACTAACACCAAAAACACATTAAACAGCAACAGAGAGGACTCTGACAGAGAGGAGGTCTGTGTGACTCATTACACAGCACACTGAGTTCTCAACTTACACAGACTGAATACAACATTATGTATACCTACGCATGGATGCCACCAACAGATGGCATCAAACCTGTAGCAATATTGCACTCGAATTCACTGCAACAGTAAGAAGTTGAAGCCCTGTCAGTCTACACTAATCTTTTCCACAGATTTCATCACAGAGCTGGCTTTAATCAGTTAGAAATACTCTTGTGATTTTTTCACCACTCTCTTTTTCACCGCAGAGCTCACCTTAATCAGTTAGAAATACTTTTGTCACTTAAAGGGCCTGTATCCTACATTTTTCTTGCATTTTATATTTTCACCTGAGGTTCATTTATGACATCTGTGTGGTTTTATTTGTCCTAATTTATTTTACGTTTTCCATTTTCCAAGGTCCTTTTATACTTTACAATTGAATACAATGTTTTTGTTACTGTACCTTTAATACATATATGTAAATGATCTCTCTTCTGATTGGCTGCCATGTATTACGCCTCATTCAAAAAAGCAGTTTGGTCTGAAACACTCCTAAACTTCAGCACAAATAGTCAGATCTAAACTGATGTAGACTCTATTGGTGGACATATGCACATGTTCTGGTTTTTCATGACATCACAAAAACAATCAATTCAAAACAGGCTGCTTTTGCAGCTTAGTTTCCATATACGGCCTGTATGGACTTGGGGTGAACAGCACGTTTTGGAACAGTTGTTACATACTACGTCACACTCCTTCAAACAAAAAGCCTGGAAACTTTGGTTTTCAATGATATGGGCCATTTAAACTGTATGACGATCACTTTTATTATACAGTTCCATGTAAACATTTTAGGCACCTGACAAAATTATATTAAAATTATGTTAGAATAAATAACATCAATACAAATAGTAAGGATTTTATATGTGTCAGTGGTTTAATTTATAACTTTAAGTGCTGATGTTATCTGTACTTAAATAATCAAGTTTATGTACTTATTTTTAGTGGCTATCACTTAATCCAGGAAAGTTGTTTGTACTGTCTGGTTATAAATTCAAGTGTACTTATTCTTGTGAGAAGAACAAACTCAAAAACAGAGTAAAAGACTACGAGGTGGAGTCACCCAGATTCTTAGCAGGTTAGTTGATTTCTGTTTATTAGCCCTTATTTTTTCCTTCAGATGCTCTTTCAAACAAACAACACGTTCCCATGTTGTGTATAAGTTAAAGGCAAGTCTGGATGCACTTTACGTGGTTTAGGTGACCTAACCATGAATGTGTTTAGTGTCTCTGCTGAGTCAGCAGTTTGGAAGTAATAAAAGACCTTAAATTGTCAGTTAAAAAAGTCAGTAGTTTTTAGTCGTTGCCGAGAGTGTGCAACTTTAAAGGCTCTGTTTAAAAAGGGTTTTCTTTTACATTTAAGTTTGAAGTCATTACAATTGTGTCAGTGTCATAAAAATAAATACATTAAATAACAATGTAGTTACTTGAACTTAAAAGCTCAAGTTTC